GTAAAAGTCGCACTTGTTCAAATAAAAGTCTAACACTTAAGTTAAATTATATATATATCGTTTTCGGTTTAGGGAATATAATCCGATACCAAAACCGAAATCACTTCATTTATGGAAGTGATGGCCGAAAACACTTCCTTTATGGAAGCCATAACCGAAATCTTAATTGCGAAACACTATAGGACCGAAAACACTTTGTTAAGGCCCATTAAGGCCAAAAACGCTCCCTTTTATATATATATATATATATATATATATATATATATATATATATATATATATATATATATATATATATATATATATATATATATGTTTAGCCGCAAACACTCCTCATTTCTCACATTCAAGGCCGAAACCCTTTCCGTTTCGCTCTCAAAACTCATCCGTAAACAACATTCATAAGATTTTACCCAGATTCCTTCAAATCTCCTTATTTTTCTCAAAAACATTCATACTTTCCTTCAAATCTTGAAGTTTTCACTCAAGAACACCAAGAACACCTTCAAATAATTCCTAATGATTTTTGTAAGTATTTCTTACATAATTTAGTGTTGTCTAACACTTTAAATCACTATTTAAATTATTATTTAAATATTTATTTTGCTAAATTATTATTTAAATATTTATTTCGCTAATTCAAATAATTCCTAAGAATTTTTGTAAGTATTTCTGACAATCCCGCACCTAAACTGTTAGCTACAGTTAGACCGGAAGGTATGGGTGACAAATGTAACAACATTCCGAAGCCTGAAGAATGTCGTGCAGGCTACTAGTCATTTTAGCATGGTTATAATATCACTCTCATTAAGCATTAACTAACCATTTTGGTTTACGGGACAAACATAACTTTAATGGTTTTATTTTAATAATAGAACTACATTACATTACATTATAGTACATATAGTGGATTCTAGGCACATACATACAAAGGGTTTTCATACAGATACAATACAATACACTATTTTCCCAATACAATACACTAGTTTCCTGATACAGTACAACATACATTTCTAGGAAGCATTCATTTATATGGTTTTATTTAATAATAAGACTACACTATACTATTTTAGAGTACAATAACAAACATACATTTTGGTTTTAAGGCCTAAGACTACATTTCATTCACAAAAGAAAATATTGGATTCTCTGGAGGAATACACTAACATTTTCAAAGAACAAAGACATACTTCTAAAACAAAAATGCTTATGAACTCACCAACTTAAATGTTGATACACTTTCAAAATCACTTGTATTCTCATGGAATCAGTAGACAGATACACTTACAGGTTTTGAGAAGATGGAGCATCATAGTGACACTTCTTATAGTTTTTGCTATATACTTTTGGTGTCATACAAACAATGTTACGAACACAATATAAACTCTATATTATCAATACAATGGTTGTTACTTTGATTAAGATTATTTAGTTGTTGTAATACTGTACATGACATCATCTGCCCCCGAACATTTCTGCCGTTACGGTTTAGGGGTGTAACAATATGTCAAAGAATTTAGACTTGTGCTCTACTTCCCCTTTCTCCCTTAAAAACCTGCAACATCGCCCTGACCTTCACCTCGAAATACCTCCTGATTCCGATGATGACAACCAATACACTCTTGGCACTGGCAGCGGTAGTGGGGATATAATAGGTCGCCGACCACGGGGTTGCCCTTCTGGTTTAAAAAACAAGCCAAAACCACCAGTGATCATCACTTGGGAGATCACAAATACCCTCCCGACACACATCCCTGAGATAAATAGTGGATACGGTGTCTTTGAGTGAATCGTGAATTATACCAGGAAGCGTCAACGTGGTATTTGTATAGTATGTGATAGCGGCATCGTCAACAACGTTAGTCTTTGGCAACTTGCAGCGGTTGGATCTGTGTAAGTCCCCAAAATTGCTTGTGTATCAATCAGATCCAATTGATGGTGCGGAATCCCAATCAATTGGATGATGTCAGATCAAATAAAAGAGAAGGAGAAGAAGAATTAAGATGAATCTATGATGTATTAACGAAATGAATTATGCTCCTTACAATAGATTCTCTCTCACACACACTTCTTCTCTCTAACTTTCTCTCTCTACAAGATGCTCTCTTCTACCTTCTGATCGTACACTCCCACATGCACACTCTATTTATATGGACCTCCAGCCATACACATGTGTACAGCCGCACACCCTGTGTACGGCCGTACACAGGATGTGCGGCCGTACACACGTGTACGGCCGTACACAAGGTGTGCGGCCATACACACGTGTACAGCCGTACACACAAACCGCAAACACATACAACATTACATAAAAATATATTTTCCTAGAAAAGCAAAGTATAAAAAGTAGCTGACTTTTCTTGTTAATCTTCGTTGGGAGCTTGGCTTCAACATTAATCTTCAGATTTCTTCACAGCATCAAGATGAACATATGAATCTTCTATGAATGACTTCATCTTGAGCGGTTGGGCATTTCTTCAAGATAGCGCTTTCAGCATGAGAATCTTCAAGAATACTGATTCTTGAAAGATAGCGCTTTCAGCATGAGAATCTTCAGAGAGAACAAAGAGAACGAATCTTCTGGATCACTTCAGCAGGTTCATAGATAGCAACAGATTGAGCGAGGAGGCTTCAATGCAATCTGTGACATAATCTTCAAGTACATCTTCACCATGCTTCTGGGGTTGACAGATGAATGTTTAAAAAATAATCTTCATTTCTTGCTCCTCCGAAAGCGAATTCTTCGATGATCACGGATGAAGCCTTGACTCAAAAAATCTCGATACAGTCTCCATGAGTCTTATCTATACCTGAAATCACTTTTCAAGACAAAACAAAACTAAAAGAAAAATTAGCACACAAAAAAATATTTTTGGATTTTCTGATTTTTCTGAACAAGAAATAACACTATTTTTGGATTTTAATTTTCTGATTTTTGTTTGATTTTTGAATTATTTTTGATTCTCCCCCTAAAATTTGTGCATAGAGAAAAACTATGAACAAATTTAACAAAAGTAAAATGATATCTAACTTTAAGAATGATTTGGGATCAAAGTTTTTAGACAACCTTTATCCACTTGTCGGTACCTTCTATCTTCACATTTTTGTCTGGTCGATCGTCGGTATTGTTGTCCACTTAAACACGAAAAATTGTGACAAAATTAGGACATACTATAAGTGACAAGATAATGTGATCCTAAGTTCCTAGATATTGTATCTGATCCTAAGTTTCTAGATACTATATCTTAAGGACCATTCAGCTGACGACGACCAGGGATATTGTTGTCCACCTAAATTGAGCAGCGAGATCTATAGACAATCTTTGAGTGTTCAATTTTAATTGTACTAGAACATGTTTCCCGCTTCCTGATATGCCCCATTAATCAAAGACTTCTAGAGTACTCCTTATATCGGGTGAGCAGACAATCATTAGGAGAGAAGATAGATTCAGATTATTATCACTTATAGTTTTAGAGGGATTGAGAAGTAGAAGGTTGCATATACTGTGTACCAGGTCGGATTGTTAATCACGCAAAGGAGACAACATTTGGCTAACAGATAAGAAGAATTTCATAGATATAATATGCAGAGAAATATATTTGCATATGTTGCAGTCCAGGTCGGATCTCTTTCAATCACGCAGAGGAGGCAACATACGACTAACAGTAAGAAAGAAAGAAAATAATTTTCTACAGACCTAATTCATCGGAATTTACCAGTCGCCCCATCAATACCGGAATTAAGGACATAATCCACACATCGAGGAAAAGTTAAGTCACGGTTCCAAGTACGGGTTCAATTAATGTGACGAGTAGATTCCAATATATATCTCCCTGCTCAACCTATACAAGCATCATATTGTCAGGCTAAACGAAACTATCTAGGTCAAGATTTATCAAGTCTCTAGATTGATGGTTCGGAATCCCAATCAATTGGATGATGTCAGATCAAATAGAAGAGAAGGAGAAGAAGAATTAAGATGAATCTATGATGTATTAATGAAATGAATTATGCTCCTTACAATAGATTTTTACACACACACACACACACTTCTTCTCTCTAACTTTCTCTCTCTACAAGATGCTCTCTTCTACCTTTCTGACCGTACACTCCCACATGCACACTCTATTTATATGGACCTCCAGCCATACACATGTGTACAGGCGCACACCCTGTGTACAGCCATACACAGGGTGTGCGGCCGTACACAGGGTGTTCGGCCATACACACGTGTACGGTCGTACGCACAAACCGCAAACACATACAACATTACATAAAAATATATTTTCCTAGAAAAGCAAAGTATAAACCAAATTTTTGACCCAACAATCTGTACTCACCCTCCACTGTGGGTTTGAGATACTCTCGTTGTCTGGTTCCTTCTTACCACCTCTAGCACCACTAGGGCCACCCCTAACTATATACTTGGCGGGTGGATAAGGACAGATTCTTGGTGGGAATATCGTCGGAGCTCTGATTGCGTCTGGGTCGATGACTATGATATCAACATCTTTCACAAATTAATTAAAAATTAAAAGGGCATAAAATAATTAAAATTAATTTCATTAAGGCATTTCACAATTAAAGAAAATGAAAAATATAAATTAAAAGGGTATAAAAGTAATTTCAAATGTAAAGGGACCAAAATAACTAAAAATATCCAATTTTAAACAATTGATATACTAAATTTCTTTTTGAATCAAAAACATATAAATTTTCTAATCATAGACATCATTTTTGCAATTTTGTCAATGTTATAATTTGAGATGAGGACAAATTGGTGTTACATGCATGTGTGGGGTAGAGTTAGTTTTTTAAACAATAAAATTCCTTTTAGAAAGGTGGGTATGGACAGGTGTTATTATATGTTATAACATGTGAACACGACCCTGTTCCCCGTTATTAGGTGTTATGAGATTGGTGTTACTCTCCGATACCACCATAACACGTTATAACTTTTTTTTTTTTTTTTTTTTTTTTTTTTTTTTTTTTTTTTTTTTGTCATTTTCCTAATAACGTTTGCCTACACGTGCTTATCTTCTTGCAAGCGGGTCTATAACTTCGATTCCTTTTCATTCAATATCTGCGAAAATCACATTGGAACTTACAGCATCGAAAAATGGCAGGATTATTCGACAAGCAAGCAGATGCATATTTGGATGCACGCCCAACTTATCCCGCCGACTGGTACACCATGTTAGCTGATCGGACTTCCTCTCATTCTCTTGCCTGGGATATCGGAACCGGCAACGGTCAGGCGGCGATCGGTGTTAGTCTTTCTTCATCCCCTTCTCTATCTCTTCCCGTTTCTCCAATCTTTTTTCGTTTGTTATGATGATCTCTCTCAAGTCAAGGATTCCCAATTTGCTTGAAAGAAGCTAGACTAGATCCCATAAACTGTGAACCCTATCAGGTCAACGTTTATTCTAAAACTGATACTGTTATCCAGGTAGCAGAGCATTACGATCAAGTGATTGGTACCGATGTGAGCGAAGCTCAATTGAAACTCGCCAAGCCCCATCCTCGAGTCCGATACCTTCACACTCCGCTGACTTTGTCCGACGATGAGCTAATTAACTTAATCGGCGGTGAAAACTCTGTAGATCTGGTAACCATAGCTCAAGCCGTACACTGGTTCGACCTCCCGAGACTCTACTCCATAATCAATCGTGTTCTACGAAAACCAAACGGTGTATTTGCTGTTTGGGGGTACAACGACTTTGCCATAACCCCTGAAATTGATGCAGCACTTAAGCGCTTCCATGAAACTACGATTCCTTATTGGAATGACAAGATCAGTTATGTATTTGATGGGTATCAGTCGTTGCCTTTCCCCTTTGAGAGCGTCGGATTAGGGTCTGAAGGGAGCCCATTGAAACTTGATATACCAAAAGAGTTAGCGTTTGAGGGCGTTTTGGGGATGTTAAAGTCTTGGTCGGCGGTGGTGACTGCTAAAGAGAGAGGAGTTGATTTGTTGTCGGAAAGTGTGGTTAAAGAACTTGAGAATGTGTGGGGTGGATCGAAGGTGGTGAGGCATGTTGTTTACAAGGGTTTCATGATTGCAGGAAGACTCCGTCGCTTGAAAGCTTGATGTGATCCCACCAAATGGTGTGTGGGTCTTTTCGTTTGCATGTGACGTGGAATAACATTTAATAGTGGAAACTATTTTGTTTTAACCAAAACTTATTGGTCGAATGAAAATTCGTGTTTGCTTAATTTGTATTTTGACAGTGATTTTATATTTTTATTTGATGTTTTGGACATTTTGGGATTTTGGAATAGGATTTTTGTGATAAAAAGGTAACCAATTTTTAAAAGTGTTTAAAAATACATCCAACTATAAAAAGCTTTTTGTAATGAATAATTATTTAGTTTTTTAAAATACCATGTAAACCTGATTCATTTCTTCTTTATACAAGACACATTAGATGGCTGATGTGGCTAAATAAGTTGGCATAGGATGTTGAGTAGGTTAATTTTTAATAAAAATAATAAACTTAGGGCATCCACAATCCATTGAACTCTATAGAGTTTATTGAATTATCACATCATTTATTAAACATCTATATAACACTACTCCTAACTTATTAAACACATATTCAATCATAATCATCACTTTATTACTTCTATTGAACCATTCAATGATCATTCAACTCATCCATTCAATTCTACTCTATATCATCACTCACACTTCATTCATCTCTTATTCTATTCTAATCATCACCATATTCAACTCTTATACTACTTGCATTGTGGATGCTCTTTGTGTCTATTTTTTTAGTGGGCGAAGAGTAAAAAACCATAGTTCATATTTTCTCTCCTGGGTATAGGACGATGGAGTGTGGAACACGAGAAACACTGAAATCTAACAAACGATCTCCCTTAATCGATTAGAAGGAGCACTGAAACTAAACAAATCGACAGTAAGTATTTCTAATTTTTGCGGGTATCAATCGGGAAGAAGAACGATTCCAAAAGCAATTTATGGGTTTGTTTAGGGTTGCAAATCGCCATTTTCTTAGTATATTTTGAGAACCATTTTAACACATTGTAATTTTCTTAATAAGTTAACCATTTTCACGTGTAATAAGAAATTTTGGTAAAATCGTTTTTCTAGTTCATGTTGAAAATGCTTGTTTATTTTGTTCCTGATGTAAATGACTAGTTAGTTGTTCTTAATGAAAATCCCTAGTAATCAACTATGATTTTTATATGTTTCTCATAATCCTGAAGTTTGGCGGCTTATCACTGTGGAGGTGTTCTTTGAAGGTGTTTTTATGTAAGGTCCCTTCGAATATTATATTGGACGCTTCGTATTGGTAACTGAAATTGACTTTGCTTCCATCGATTTCTCCCGATATCAAAACTTCCTACAAACATTGGTAACCTTGTCGAAGTAGGTACTATCAAGTCTTGAAAAAGAATCTAAATTTAGGGTTGAGGGTATTGGCATTTGACAAGGATTATTCAATATTTATTGATCATGCTTATGTAGAGTTAATCTTTACATTTACAAAGTACAAGATAATTTGACTTTTTACGTGGGGGAAGAAGGATTGAATGTTGGTGAGGATGAGGACTTGTTTTTTTTTTCAGACAATATATCATTGGATCTTGAAGTAAAAGATGACGTGGTCAGTTTCAAAAATACCATATGGACTCCTTTTTTGAGAAAATTATGTGGTGACGATAAAGTATAGTCTTAAAATAAGGCAGTGTTTCGTGATCAAATTCCTTGGAATCATTTGGTCCCATTGAAAGGGATGAAGTTTGAGAATCCAAAGTAACTAAAAAATTTAATTACCACTTATGTTGTAGCAAATAGTTATGATCTTTGTTATGAAAAGAATGATTTTTCATGTTTGTTGGTAAAGTGTAGAAAAGGAGGATAACCTTTTAGACTATGGGTTACTTGGATGGTTCAATAGCAGGACCGTTCCAGACATATTTTGGGCCAAGACGAGAGAGAGGAAAAAAGACCCTTAAAATACACAACTTTCATTAACCTTTTTTATAATAACTCAACAACTGAAATACAACTATTTATACTAGCTTCTAAATATAACATTTTCGACTACAAATATCCATATATTTAAAGAAAAATACTTCTTTTAGCTTTTTTAGCTGCAAAATTATTAAGGATATCTTCAACATCGATCTTATCTAACATATCATTAATAAAGTCGATAAAAATTTTCGGACCCTTTAAAAGATGGGCCCTAGATGGTCATCCCAATTGCCCACCCTCTCTCTAGGGCAGGCATGTGTAAGAGCATACCTTCCAAATAAAATTTCTTATTGATGCTTACAACTATGCTAGGGAATTCAAGTTAGGTTCTTTAGTATCATATGCAGAGATAGCTAAACATTATGCAAAAAGACATTTTAGAAAAGCCATATATAAGTTATAGTGAAATACAAGCTAGTATCAAAGAGAAGTTTAACCTGCAAGTGAGTTTGGATTAATGTAGGAGAGCAAGGAAAGAAGCAACGAATGAAATGGAAGGTACTTTGCAGGAACATTATCCAAAGCTTTGGAGCTACTCTAAAGATATTAGAAGATTTAATCTTGGGTTAACTGTTAGTTTACAACATAATAATGTACTTTATAAAAATAAGCTTTTATGAGATTTTAACATAGTTTCTGGAAAATGTTTGAATTTATGCCCATTTATAGCAATGCACTTTATAAAAATCATGAAACACCCTAAATTTTCATTTAAAATCACATTAATCTCATTAGCACAATCACAAAATCCTCAGTTTATATCAAGTTATCAAAAACACATGTTCAAAACTTGTTTATAACACAATCCAGGACCCTTCAAAACAAATCTCCAAACTCGTGTGTGTACAATCAAGCTGGTGCCTTCCTGTGATCCTGAGAAGTACCTAAAACACATAACACATAACACGGTAAGCGCGAAGCTTAGTGAATTACCCAAAATACCACACATACTCATTAGCCTCTCATGACTACTCAAATAAGACCCTTCGATTAATGTGTGTCAATGGGACCCTCTAGTCCCAAAACTCAGGTGGACCCTCCGGTCCTAACTTGGTAAGCTCAAAAGAATCCACATCACAAATCACAAAGACATAATGTAGGAAATCACAATACTCAATATAACACATAAGACCCTCCTGTCACACAAAGATTACGACTCTAGGTAAAGTATAGTGAGAAGACTCACCTTAAAAGCAAGCAAGCAATAAACCTCGTTCACGAATCTCTGAACTAGCCTCTGCCTAACACATAGGGTAATTATCTCTAATTAACACTTAAATCACGACTCTAAATAAACTAAGTTATTTTCTCTCTCAAACTCTTGGGTTGGGTAAAAGACCATTTTACCCCTCCATGGTCCTCATAACCCCTGTCTTGACTAAACCCTAAAGTCAACAGAAGTCAACACTTGAGTCAACAGTCCATGTTGACCCTACTCGCCGAGTGCATCTACGTGACTCGCCGAGTCCCCATTATTCCTTCAAAATTTTCTCAAAAACCCAACTTAATTCGTCGATTTGTCTCATCAACTCGTCGAGTTACCCATGTCCAGACTCATTGGGGATAACCCTAGCCGACTCGTCAAGTCAGCTCATCGACTCATCAAGTCCCTTAAGTCTGTTTTCTCATTCAGAGTTTTAAGGTAGAAACACCACCCCAAACTCTAGATCTAGCCTCCCAAGGTTAAGATACCACGTAAAGCTACAAGCTTTACGTCCATGCAGGTCTAGAAGGGCTAAACTCATCAAAAGAAGGCTTCACAAGGACATTAGCTCATATAGGTTGTCCTAAGCTTGATAAAGCTTGTGTCTCTCGGTCCAAGGGACCTCCTATTGTCCAGATTCAAAGTCTCATCTCCATATCATGCTCAAAATAATAAATGACTCAAAAAGAAGCTAGAAAAGCCATAAACTCATAAATAAGGCGATCTAATGTTAGAGTGATCAAGGTAATGCCTTGTTACCTAAAATAGGATGCCAAAATGAAGTAGATAATAGATCCTCAGCCTCCCCGTTGATCTAAGCTCCTTAATTCTCAAGCCTCTTCAAGAATCCCACCAAAATAAGCATCTTAAGCCTCACACACTCAAGATAGGGTTTAGTTCACTAGTGTTTGTACTTTGGATGTGGAGAGTGATGAGGGAGGCAGGATGGAGGCTTAGAGTCCTTAAAATAGGGTGC